CTGACCGAGCTCGCTGGGGCATCCACCTTGGGATCGAAAAGGAATACAAGGCGTGGATCGTGTTGGACTACGCGACACACGAAGTGACGAAATCACGTGACTGCATCTTCTACGACTCTGCCACTGTTCAACGAACACCGCGAAGCTGACACAGCACCGGAAAGGGTTTTCGAGGGACACCGCAGCTTCGCAACTCCACACGATGAAGCTGACCTGGCAGAAGATGAGGCTGCAGCAAACGTCACTCAGTTTGACAGCGCACCCAACATCCCCCTTACAAGCCCATTCCAAACCCCAACCTTCATTCCGCTACACCAAACTGATCCCGACGAAACAACTCGCAACGCCCATGACTTTGACAGCGCCGCCCGACGCTCACCAGATGTCGCGTTACCACAGCCCAACACCTCGCAAGAAACCATCCGCTCTGGCAACGAAAGCGACGACGATGTGGTCGAAGTAACCAGCTTCCACGACTACGATCGTCTGCACTACGAAAAGACCAACGAAACCGGTCTCCGCATCTTTGGGCTCGCCGTCGCTGTTCGCCACTCCTCCCCCAAGGAACCCACCACTGTTCGCCAGGCTCTCTCCGGCCCCGACAGTGAGAAATGGAAAGCAGCCATGGCCAAGGAGGTCGCGTCGCTCAAGACCTGTTGCACCTGGAAGCTGGTTCCCCGGACATCTGCGAAGGGGAGAAAAATTCTCAGCGGCAAATGGGTGTTCCGCATCAAGACGTTGGCGGACGGCTCCATCGACAAATATAAGGCGCGATGGGTGGTCCGCGGCTTCGAGCAAACACAAATGGTGGACTTTGATCTCACCTACGCACCAGTCGGACGGCACACCTCAGTGCGGATTCTCATCTGCATCGCAGCTGTCAAGCAGCGCCCACTCCGTCAAATCGACGTCGGCAGCGCATTCTTGTACGCTCCGGTCGACGCAATTATCTTCGTCGAACAGCCGCATGCCTTCGAAGAGACCGACGGCGCCGTCTGCCTGCTTCAGAAATCTCTTTACGGGATTAAGCAAGCACCTCGCCTGTGGCAGCAGTACCTCCACACGGTGCTAACAAGCCTCGGCTTTCAACAGCTACCCCACGACCTCGGAATGTACCGAAAGGAGTCGCGCGGCAAGTTCATTCTCCTCGTCGCCTACATCGACGACGTCCTCTATACCGGTGACGACACAGAGCTACTGGACCAATTCGAGGCAGAAATCAAGGAGCAGCTAGAAGTCACCATCAACCACGACGTTACTCAATTTCTGGGTCTCAACATCACCCAGTCTGCCTCCTCCATCCATCTCTCCGCCGCCAAGTACGCCGAGACACTCGCAAAGAAATTCGGCATTGCACCCATCAACCTCTCCACACCCTTTCGCACTCCTCCTCCTAACCACAAACCAGACACCACGCCTCTCTCTCTTGAGGATCATCGGCTCTATCAGCAGCAGCTCGGGTGCCTTCTATTCGCCGCCGTCACGTGCCGGCCCGATCTCTCCTACGTCGCAAGCCAGCTCGCTCAGTACATGAAGCGACCTGAAGGGGAGAATCTACAGGATCTGCGCCGCGCACTCCAATACTTCATCTCTACTCCTGACGTCGGCCTCACTTACGAAGCTAACTTAACGGCCACCCTGCAGCTGCACGGCTACGTAGATGCTGACCATGCAGGAGATGTTGACAACAGACGCTCCCGCACAAGATTCATTTTTCAACTTCAACCTGCTGGGGTCATCTCGTGGAACTCTCAGAAGCAGGAGCTCATCGCTCTTTCGTCAGCCGAAGCAGAATTCATCGCCGCCAGCGCAGCTGTTCGCGAAGGACTGTACCTGATGGAACTTCTGCAGGAAGCGAAAGTGACGATGAACGGGCACTTCACGTTACTCTGCGACAACCAAAGCGCGATCAAGATCGCAAACAAGCCCGGCTTCGTGAACCGCACGAAACACATCGCCCTTCGCTACTTCTTCGTCAAGGACGAAATCGACAAAGGCAAGGTCAAACTCACGTACTGCCCAACTGGCGATATGGCAGCCAATTTTCTGACAAAGAAACAGCCATGTCAACAGTTCCAGCACTGTGCCAACCTTTGCGGGATCACCAAGAAGTCCCACGTGGCCCACCTTCAGGAATGAAGGGGAGTGTTGGAATAAACGAAAGGTTATTATAAACATTCCCGAAGGTTCTCCACTCTCGCATCACTCCATAACGAAGTGAACGCCTGTACCAGTACTGCAATAGCTCATATAGAGCACACGGAAGTTCGAGGGTCACCCGAAGGTCAACAGTCGAAGACAGTCAACGGTCGTGACCCTTGACTGCCAGGTAACCGCACGAGGCAGTTACGAAGTGCAACATGGTAACTGCCTAGAATAGCAATAGTCATGGGTTACTGTAGCAATGCAATTCAGTTAACAAGGGAATGTATGTCAGTAGAGCTACACTGTGAGATCCCCGATCGATCCTAGGGGGGGTTACAGGCGCGTTTGCCTGGGGGGTTATGGGCGCACTGACCCGCTACTGAAACAAGCCCTTTTATCCCAATGGTCTAGTGGTTGGGATTCTGACATGGTATCAGAGCGATCTCGGGTTCGAATCCCGGTGTATGCACATGTTGGCCGTTGCCACTGTGCTCAGTCCTGGGCCTCCCAGTGTGGGGGGGTGTCAGTAGAGCTACACTGTGAGATCCCCGATCGATCCTAGGGGGGGTTACAGGCGCGTTTGCCTGGGGGGTTATGGGCGCACTGACCCGCTACTGAAACAAGCCCTTTTATCCCAATGGTCTAGTGGTTGGGATTCTGACAATGTACCCCTCAGAGTACATGGCTAGCTAGGAATGCTATTTATACCCTTGTACTTCTATCTTATAATCATCTTGTTCTCCTTCAATTAATCAACAAGGTCACTGCTGAGACTTCACGAGTTCTCTTTACTCTTGGCAACTTTATCCTATCCACTACGATCCTTCAGTTGTATCAACATAGGTCCCTCTATATCTTTGTTAGGTTCCGTTCTATTGTCGGTAGTTGCAATCACAGCTTCGTTATTTACTTTTGCACACTCTTTTCATTCACAACTCATAACACCTGGAGCGAGTGTAAGAGCGTGTTACGTACCCCTTAACTTGGTGGCAGGGCCCGGTTGCATGTAAAAGTCGACCCAACCTAACTGGTCGGGTCGACCGGTGGGCGGTTGGGTACCCAGCAGGCAACCTGCAATTGTACCACCCGCTTGTTTTTGAGACCCAACCACGCGAACAGTATTTGGGGCAGACCCAACAGTCACTGCGTCATTTTAGTGGCCTACCGTAGGTGAAAAAAATCTTCCACTAATCACGTCGACTTTAGATAATGCAACCTGCCCGCAATGTTTTCGTGTACCACTGGTTGCGGAGCAGGTTGGTATGTTTGCGTGTTGGTTGCCTCGATCTGGTTGTGTGTGGGCGGGACCAACTGGTTGCTTGACTACCTGGTCGCCTCGACCGAATGTGAGTGTGCCCTGGTACGCACGTCTTATCTGGTAACCCTACGTTCACTGTACACTGTACATACTAGGGTTATCTGGTAACCCTACGTTCAACCCAATCCGACCGTTCGAGGCAACCTCGACCAGGCCCCCAAAAAAGGGGTACGTAACACGCTTTAACCAAAATGTAAGTGAACCACCTACTGCCCTAACGAATTCACATGTAGCATTGCCTCACATGTCTGTTTTCCCGCTAACGTTGGAGGCGGCTGCTACACCCCATGTGCCAGGGCGACTTGCTGGATACTCCAGAGTCGCAGGGAGACGGGGGGTGTGAGAATGAAACGATTGGTGCATAATCTCACCAATGAGACGTGAAGTTGCACTTGAACTAGCTGATGTGTGCAAATGCGGTCAACGTGAGTGGTGACGATTTTTGGTCAGAAAGTCGAATCACAGCGAAGAATCCAATGGCTGCTGCGAAACATTCGTGTGACGGGACAACAAAGGTTGGGCAAAGTCGCACAGCGTCGCAGGAACTGACATACAGGGGTCCGACCACCACATTGCCTCTCAGGGGTCTTTTCCTTGCTCGGAACCAAACCGAAGCCCTCCACATGATCCACTCTGACACGGTAGTACGGTACACTTCGTGGGTACACTGTGCAATAATTTCAATCGCACCAAGAAGCAGCCCAGGGCAGGGTGTACACTTTGCGGCACCCCACGTGGCAAACATGTCACCCACTGCACCCAATCGCCCAGCCTGCCCGGCTCCACCATCCAGCTTCTGAACTTGACCCAGGGCAAACCGAGCCTGGCGGCCCAGACCAAGCACAACCGAACTGTACGGGCAAGGAGAACCACAGGAACTCAGCAAAGGGCAAGGTTTGGTTGACGGGGCAAAGATGGAGGCTTGGTTGACCCACACACACCTAACCAAAGAACGTTCTCAGTCTTGGCTATCCTTTCCGTGTTCTTCTCCGCGGTACCAGCGCTGTAAACTACACACTATCAGTGGCCGAGTCGGGACACTTGTGGAACACTCATCTCCTCACACTCAGGGCTTGCGAGCGAGCGCGCCTTGGATTCCTGTCTAGGTGGAGGTCGTTCCTTCGGTTTCTCGACAGATTGCACAAAAACCACACACTTCAATAGTTGATCAGTCCAATCATTGCTCGCAATGGCGACTGGCGTTGGAGTATCATAGGTCTTTTTGGACCGAATTGTAGCTACTCACTTCGTTCAGTTGGGTTTTGTTTTGCTTGCTGATCCTCCTCTCGCGTGGGCGTTCTTCTGACGGGGGCCCAGGCTCAGCCCGAGGCGTCACCCTTTGCGACACTTGTAACAGGCGACAATCGTTAATCCGCGACTCCCGTCAAAGTCGTAACCAGGCGAGAGCCGTTAACACACGAAAAAAGTCTTGCCGCACGAAAGTCGGTGCAAGGCGACAGTCGGCCCGCGCGAAAGGCGGTACAAGGCGACAGTCGGCCTGCGCGAAAGGCGGTACAAGGCGACAGTCAGGCCGAGGATGGTATTCCGGGATCTGAATCCCGTGCTGCACTACTCGTCGTTGCTGCGCCTCGCGCTGCCCTCCATTCTCCTCCAGAGCGGCGCGCCGCTCGCCATCACCTTCCAGACCGCGCTGCTCGGCCGCAAGTCCACGGAGATCGTCGCCGCATGGGCCATCGTCGCAAGTGAGTCGCAGAAAGTCGCAGAGAGTCGCATAGAGGAAGCAAGCGCTGGGGTCTGGTAGTAAGTTACCGTCAGACGGACGAATGTCGTGGAAAGTGGGAGGCCTAGACGGAACGGGGACGGGGGCGCGGGCGGGGGCGGGGGGGAAGGGGTGGGGGAGAGGAGGTGCGCGGGAGAAAAGAGGGACGTGGAGGTACTGATACGTGGTGTGCATGTGCGTGTCGTGTTGCGCGTAAGTACGCGAGTGAGGAGCGTGCATTGATAATTGTCGAAACTCGTAGGCGTTTCGTGTCGTTTCGTGTTGAGCGGTTGCCCATGATGTGCGTGACGGGCTGCGCGGGACGCATCCGTACGTACGCGCACTCGGAGGTGTTTGCTCCTCGCCTCGCAGGCAGTTTTTTTTTACTTGACCCTACTATCGACGCGTCCGTAACTGAGCTTGGTTGGAGTTGACTGCACGTCGCGGATACGTTGGCTGTGCATCTCGAAGAAACGTCTTGCGTGCTTCGCAGACGCTTCCCGACGCGATCTTCGCCGTCGCTTTGACGCGCCTCGTAGCTTGCAACAGCGGCCTGTGGGAAGGAAACGCATGGCGCAGTAGGATCGAACCTCGAGCCAACACGTGCTGGTTGAGGCGCCTCATAACTTAAAGCCTTTATGAATTGGACCGGTTCACGAATCACGAAGGGAGCAACCTTCTCCGCTTTCACGTGGCCGGGACGATAGCTTGGAATTAAATAGACCTGTGAGGAAGAGCAGGAGGGGGAGAGAGAAGGAGAGAGCGAGGATAAGAGAGGAAAATGGGGAATGGAGAGGATAGATTCAACCCACTCACTGACTTTCCCTTCTCTCTCCCCATCCCTCCTGTTGCTTCGTGACCTATGCCTGCTCCTTCTGCTCAACTGCCACGTGTCTCCTCCTGGCTTCCCGCTGCCACGTCATCGGCTACAGCCGCTACGAATGCCGCTACAGTCGTCTTCAACTTCCTCGTCGTCGGCGTCACTGCCAAGGTACTTCCCCTGCGCTTCCATTCTTTTCTTTTCCTCACAATCCCGCGCCCTCTTTTTTTTTTTTTTTTTGAGAATCCTAAAAAAACAAATTTGAGAATTCTTTAAAAACTTCCTCGTCGTCGGCGTCACTGCCAAGGTACTTCCCCTTTCCTTCCATTCTTTTCCTCCCCATCCCCGCGCCCTCTCTCCCTCGTTCCTTCCTTTTCCCGTCTGCTATTGGACTCTGTTCTATACGAGGCATTGGCTGCAGTCGGCTTGACGTATTCTAACTGAAATCGACTTGACGGATACTGACTGAGCTCGGCTTGACGGATTCTGGATCATTCCGCTTCCCTGTACACTCGCTCGCTTTCCTTTCTCCCTCCAATTCCCCCACCTTCCTCCCTCCCTCCGCCCTTTCCGCCATTCCCCCTCCCTGCCCCCTCCCCCAACTCCCCCGCAGGTGACTAAGGGGGTGGCGGTGGGGGCATGGGCGCAGGCGGGCGCGCGCATCCGCTTAGCCTTGGGGATGGCGCCGGTGATGGGCATGGTGGCGGTGGCGCTGCTGCTGGCGCTGCTTCCCCCTTCCCACCCTTTCCCCTCAACCCACTCCCCCTCTCGCTCCCGCCTTTCTGTATCCCTCTTCGCACACCCAGCTCCACCCTTTTCCGTCGTTCCCCCTCTTTCCAACCTTCTCCCTCCTCCTCCCAACCCCAGGAGTAAGGTGGTGGCGGTGGGGGCATGGGCGCAAGTGGGCGTGCGCATCCGCCTGGCTTTAGGAATGGCGCTGGTGATGGGCATGGTGGCGGTTGCGCTGCTGCTGGCGCTGCTTCCCCCCTTCCCACCCTCTCCCTCCCGTATCCCGCTTCACACATCCGCCCACACCCTTTCCTGTCCTTCTCCCTCTTTTTCACCTTCCTCCCCCTCCCCTCCTTACCCTCTGCAGGTCACTAAGGTGGTGGCGGTGGGGGCATGGGCGCAAGTGGGCGCGCGCATCCGCCTAGCCTTAGGGATGGCGCTGGTGATGGGGATGGTGGCGGTGGGGTTGCTGCTGGCGCTGCAGCAGCCGCTCTGGCTGCTATTGGCGGATACTCCCAAGGTGCTGCCCTACGCGCGCAGTTACTTCTATCTGCGGGTCA